GGGCGGGGGGGGTGGCGCGGGGCGGGGGCTCGGGGGCGGGGGTGCGGGCGGCGGGGCGGGGGGGCGGGGGGGGCGGCGGGCCCCGGGGGGGGGGGGGGCGGCGGGGGCGGGGGGGGGGGCGGGGGGGGGTGGCGGGGGCGGGGGGGGGGGGGGGCGGGGGCCGGGCGCGGGCGGGGGGCGGTGCGGGGGGCGGGGGCGGGGGGGGGGCGGGGGGAGGGGGGCGGGGGGGGGGGGGGGCGGGGGTCGGGGGGGGGGGGGGGGGGGGGGGGGGGGGGGGGTGCGGGGGGGCGGGGGGGCGGGGACGGGGGGGGGGCGGGGGGGGGGGGGCGGGCGGCGGGGGGGGGGGGGGGGGGGGGCGGGGGGGGGGGGCGGGGGGGCGGGGGGGGCGGGGGGGGGGGGGGGGGGGGGGGGGGGGCGGGGGGCGCGGTCGCGGGGGGGCGGGGGGCGGGCGGGCGCGGGCGGGGCGCGGCGGGCGCGGGCGGGGGGCGGCGGCGGGCGGCGGGGGGCGGCGGGGGGCGGGGGGCGGGGCGGCGGGGCGCGGGCGCGGTCGGAGCGGCGGGCGCGGGGGGCGCGGGGACGGGGCGGCGCGGGGGCGGGCGCGGGCGGGGCGCGTCGGCGGGGCGTGCGCGGGCGGGTGGGGGGGGCGGGGGCGGTGCGGGGTCGGGGGCGGGGCTGGGTGCGGGGGGGGGGCGGCGGGGGCGCGGCGGGGTCGGGGCGGGCGCGGGGGCGGGCGGGCGCGCGGGGCGCGGGGGCGGGGGGGGCGGGCGCGGGCGCGGGCCGGCGGCGGCGGGGGGGGCGGGGGGGGGGGGGGGGGGGGGGGGGCGGGGGGGGCGGGCGGGCGGGGGCCCGGCGGGGTGCGCGGCGGGGTCGGGGGGGGGCGCGGGGGGGGGGGGGGGCGCGGGGGTGCGGGGCGTGGGCCGGCGGGGCGCGGGGGCGTGCGGGGGGGCGCGCGTCGCGGGGGGGCGCGGGGGGGCGGTCGGGGGGCGGGCGGGGCGGTCGGGGGGCGGCGGGGGCTCGGCGGGGGGCGGGCGGGGCGCGGCGGCGGGGCGGGGGCTGGTGCGGCCTGCCGCGGGCGGGGCGGCGGACGCGGGGGGCGCGGGGCGCGGCGGGGGCCGCGGCGGGGGCGGGGCCGGGGCGGGTGGGGCGGGCGGCGGGGGCGGGGGGGGGGCGGGGCGCGCGGGGCGCGGGCGGCGGGGCGGGCGGGCGGTCCGCGGGCGGGGTCGCGGCGGGCCGGGGGTCGAGCGCGGGGCCGGGGCTGGCGGGCGCGGTGCGCGGGCCGCGGGGGCGCGGCGGGGGCGGGCGGCGGGGGCGGCCGCGGGCGGGGGGCGAGGGCGCGGGCGGCGCGGGCGCGGCGCGGCCGGCGGGCGCGCGGCGGGCGCGGGCGCGGTCGCGGGCGGCGGGGGGCCGGCGCGTGCGGGGCCGCGGCGGGGGCGGGGGGCGGGCGGGGCGGGCGGCGGGGCGGCGGGCCCGGGGGGGCGGGCGCGGCGGGTCGCGGCGGCGGGGGGTGCGCGGCGGGGGGGCGGGCGGGGCGACGGGCGGCGGGGGCGGGGCGCGGTGCCGGCGCGGCGCGGGTGGCGGCGCGGGAGGGGTCGGGGCGCGGGCGCTGGGGGCGGCGCGGCGTGGGCGCGGCGCGGCCGGCGGGGCGCGCGGGGCGGGGCGCGGGCCGGGGTACCGTGGCGCGGGGCGCTGGGCGGCGGGGGGGCGGGCCGGGGCGGGCCGGGGGGCGTGGGGGGGCGGGTGGGGCGCGGTGGCGTCGGGGGGGCGGGCGGGGGGGCGGCGGGCTCGGGGCGGGGCGGGGCGCGGGGCGGGGCTGGGCCCGGGCGCAGGTGCGCGGGCCGGGGGGCGGGGGCGGTCCGCGGCGCGCCGCGGGGGGCGGCGGGGCGGGGGCGTGCGGGCGCGTGGGGGGGCGGGCGCCGGGGGGGCGGGGGCGCGGGCCGTCGGGCGCGGGCTGGCGGCGGGGGACTCGCTGCGGGCCGGGGGGCGCGGGTCGCGGCGGGGCGCGCGCGGGGGTGGGCGCGGGCTGCGAGGCGGGGCCGGGCGGTCTGCGCGGTCGGCGGCGGGGGGGGCGCGGGCGCGGGCGCGGGTCCGTGGGCGGGCGTGGCGCGGGGGCGCGGGGCCGGCTGGGGGCGCGGGCGCGGGCGCGGTCTCGGCGCGGGCGCGGGCGGCGGGGCGGCGGCGGGGGCCCGGGCGGGGCGGGTTCGCTGTGCGCGTGGCGCCGTCTGCGGGCTCGGGCGGGGGGGCGGTTGGGGGCGGGCGGCGCTGGCGGGGCGCTGGCGCGCGTGTCGCTGGGCGGGCGCGGCGGGGGCGCGGCGGGGCGGCTGCGCGCCGCGGGCGGGGCGCGGGGGCGCTGGTGCGTGCTGGGTCGCTGCGGGGCGGCGCGTGGTGGGGCGCGGGCGTGTTCTGGGGCGGAGCGGCGGCGCGGTCGCGGGGGGTGGCGGGTCGTCGGGTCGCAGGGCGTCGCGGGGTGCGGCTGCGTGGGGGCTGTGCGCGGGCCCGGCGGGCGGGGGCGCGGCGCGGGCGCGGGCGCGGGCGGTGGCGCGGTGCGGGGCGCGGGGTCGGCGCGGGGGGGGCCGGGCTCGGGCGTGGCGCTGGCGGCGCGGGCGGGTCGCGCGCGGGGGCCGGGCGCGGGGGCCGGGCGGGTGCGGGGCGCGTGGCGCGGGGTGGGCTGGGCGCGGGGCGTCGGCTGTGCCCGGCGCGGCGTGGCCGCGGGGCCGGGTCGGCGTGCGCGGGCGGGCGGCGCCGTGCGGCTGTCCGGGCTCGGGCGGGGGCGGGGCTCGGCGGGCGGGGGGTGTCGCGGCGGGTCGCGCGGGGGCGCGGGCGGGCGCGGCGCGGGCGGGGGACGGGTGCTCGGCGTCGGGGGCGCGGCTGGGCGCGGCGCGGCGGTGGCGGGGCGCGGCGGTGTCGCTGGGGCGGCTGGGTCGGCCTGCGCGGGGCGGCGTTCGCGGGCGCGGGCGCGGGGCGGGGCGCGGGGCCGGGTCGGCGGGCGCGGGCGCGGGCGGGCGCGCGGGCGTGGCGTCGGCCCTGCGGGCGTGGCGCCGCGCGGGCGCGGGCGCGGCGCGGGTTCGCGGGGTCTTCGCGGGCGTGGCGTCCGTCGGGGCTGCGGGGCTGGGCGCGGGCGCGCTGGTCGGGGCGGCGGGCGGTCGCTGCGGGCGTGCGCGTTCGCGTTGCGCTGCTGGCGCGGCGGGCGGGCGCGGGCGGGGCGCGGTTCGGGGCGCGCTGGGCGGTGGCGGCTGTGGGCTCGGGGGCGCGTTCTGCGGGGCGGCGGGCGCGGCCGGCGTTCGCGGCGGGGCCGGGTGCGGGCGGCCGGGGGCGGCGTCGGTCGGGCGCGGGCTCGGCGCCGCGCGGGCTGCTCGGGTCGGGCGGTCGCGGGCTGGCCGCGGGCGACGCGCGGCCGTGGCCGGGGGCGGCGCGCGGGGCGTGGCTCGGGCGGCGGCTAGCTGCGCGCGTGCGGGGCGCTGCTTGGTGCGGGCGCGGGTCGGCGGCGGGGCGCGGCGGTCCGGGTCGTGCGCGGCGCTGCGGTCGCGGGCGCGGATGGGGCTCGTGTCTGCGCGGGGTCTCAGTCGGCTGGCGCGGCGGGGCGTCTGGCGCGGCGCCTTCTCGGCTCGGCGCGGGCCGGCGCGGTGGCGCGGGCGCGTGGCGTGCGCGCGTCTGGTTTTCGCGGCGCGGCGAGGCTCGGTGCGGTGGGGCGGCCGCGCGGGCGCGGGCGCTCGCGGCGCGGGGCGCGGGGCGCGGCGCTCGGGCGTGGCGCGGGGCGGGGCGCGGGGCGTGGCGCTGGCGCGGTGCGGTGGCGTTGTCGCGTGGGGCTGGGGTCGGGCGCGGCGCGTGGCGCTTGCGCGGGCGGGGGAGTGGCGAGGGCGGTGCTCGGTGCGCGGTCGCTCGGTGCGCGGGCGCTGCGCGATGCGCTCGCCGTGGGCTCGGGCGCGGGCGGGGGCTCGAGCCGTGTGCCGGGCGCGAGCAGCGTGATGCTGGGCCGCGTAGTGCTCGCTGTCTCGGCGCTGGGCGCCGGTGCTGTGCGCTTCTCGGGTCGCGCGTCCTTTCGCGGTTCGCGTCGTTTCTCGTTTGCGCTTCTTGCCCGGGCCCGGTGCGCGGCGCGGGCGCGCCGTTCGGTGCGCGGCTGGGCGCGTGCGTCGGGCGCGGGCGGGCGCGCCGTGGGCGCGGACGCGTCGCGGGCTCGGTCGCGGGCGCTGGGCCGCTGCGGAGCCCGGGCGCTGGTCCGCTGCGCCGGCTCGCGTCTCGGGCGCGTCCGTGGGCGCGTGCGGCTTTCGTCTGCTGGGCCGCTAGGGGCGCCGTTCGCGGGCGCGTGCGCGGCGCGGTTCGCGTGCTGCCGGTGCGCGGCCTTTGCTCGGGCGCGTGGTCGCTGGCGGTGCTCTGCGCGGTCGCTGTGGCGCGGCCGGGCCCGGGCTCGGGAGCGGCGCCCGGTTCGCGGGCGCGCGCTGCGGCGGCGCGGCGTGGCCGGCGCTCGGCGGGTGCCCGGTCGGCTGTGCGGGGCGCGGTCTCGGCGCGCCCGGTGCGCGGGTCGCGGGCGCTGGCGTGGCCGGTTCGGTGCCATGCGTCGGTCCGGCGCGTGTCGTCTGTCGAGTTCTCTGTCGTCGGGAGCTAGCGGGCGTGGGCTGCGGCGCGGACTGTGCGCGTGCTGGTCGTGGCGCGGCGCGCGGGCCGGGTCGCTGCTGGGCGGCTAGCTGCTGGCGCGTGTCTCTGTGCGCGGGCGCTGCGCCGGCGCGTGGCGCTGTGCGGGCCTGTCGGGCGCGGGCGCGGCCGCCGTCGAGAGGCCGGGCCGCTGGCGCGTCGGCGCGGCGGGCGCGCTGGACGCCGGTGCGCTGTCGGGGCGCGGCCGCCGGCATCGGCCCGTCTGTCGCTGTGGCGGGTGCCCGGCCGGGTCGCTGCGCCGTCGCGGCGGGGCGCTGGGCGCGTGCGCGGCGGTCGCTGTGCGGCGCAGTGCGCGTCGCTGCGCGGCTGGGTGCGCGGTGCGCGCGGTCGCGGTCGGGGCCCTTTCTCGGGCGCTTCGCCGGCGTCGGGCGCCGGGCGCGGTGCGGAGGCTCGAGTCTGGCGCGGCGTGCCCTTTCGCTTGTCTGTGTCGTCTGTCTCTGCGTGCTCTGGCGCTGGCGCGTGCGGGCTCGGTCCTGCTGGCCCGCCCTGGGCGGGCGCTGGCGTCGGGCGCGGTCAGGGGCCGGTGCGCTGGCGCGGCGGCCCGGACGCGGGCGGCGGTCGCGGCGGGGCGCGGGCTGGTGAGTCGCGGTCGGGCGCTGGGGCGCGGTCTTTGGCTGCTGTCGGCGTGCCTGGTGTGCCCTGGCGCGGTGGCTCGTGCGCGTTCGCGGCGGGGCGTCCGGCTGCGGTGGCGCTGGCGCGGGCGGGCGCGCGGGGCTCGGGGGTCGCTGGCGGGGCCCGGTGCGCGGTCGTGCGCGTGCGGGCTGGTCGGTCGCCGGTCTCGGGCGGGGCTCGTCTGTGCGTCTGGCGGGGCGCGTGCGTGGGCGCTGCTCCTGCGCGGGCTCGTCGTTGTCTCGGCGGGGCTCGGGCGCGGCGCCGGCGCGGGCGGGGCGCGGCTCGGTCCGCGGTGAGCTGCGGCCTGTGGCGTTCGCTGGGCGGGCTCGGCGCCGGCGCCGCTCGTCGGTGGCGCGTGCTAGTGGCCCCGGGGCGCGTGCCGCCGGGCGCGGTCTGGGCGCGGGTCGTCGGCGGGGCTTGTCGCGGTCGCTGGCTGGAGGCGCTGCTGGCGGGTCTCGGGCGCTGAGGCGGTCGCGTGAGGCCGTGCGTGCGCTTCGGCTCGAGCGGTGCCCGGTCGCGTGCTGGCGCTGGGCGCGGGCGCGGTGCGCGTCTGCGGCGCGTGGCGCGGTCGCTGGCTTAGGCGCTGCGTTTCGTGGGCTCTGCTGCGGTCGCGTAGCGGTCGGGCGCGGGCGCGGTCGTTTGCGGGCTCGTTTCGGGTCGCGTCGCGGGCGGGGCTCTGCGGTGCGCGGCTGCGGGCCCTTGTCGCGGCGGGGCGCGGGCGGTGGCGCTGTGCTCGGGCGGGTGCGCGGCGTAGTCTCGGGCGCGCTGTGCCCGGTCGCGTGGCCGCGGGCTCGGCGCTGGCGGCGCGTGGCGTCGGTCCTCTGTGCTGGTCTCGTGCGGGGCTGCTGGCTCGCAGTTGCCCCGGCGCTGGCTGAGGTCTGGGCGCGGCTCGTTCGTGGGCTCGGTACGGCGCGGTGTTGCCGCGGCGTCGTCCTTGGCCGGCGTGGCCCGGTCGCGGTCTGTGAGCCGCGGCGGGGCTCGGCGCTGCGGGCGCGGGCGCTTCGGCGGCGCTCTGTCGCTGTCGCGAGGCGCGGCTCGTGGGCTCGGCTTTGCGGGCGCGGTCGCGGTGCGCGTGGCGCGGGCCTGGCGGGCGCGGAGGCGCGGTCGCGGTCGCCGGGCGGCTGTCGCGGTCCTCGTGGCAGCGCGGCGCGGTTGGCTCTGTGCGCATGTCGCGGCGGTCGGGGCGCGGGCGCTGGCAGCGGGCGCGTGGCGCGTGTCGGGGCGCGGTCGCTGGCTCGTTTCGCGGGCGGGGCGCGTGGCGGGGCGCGTCGCCCAGCTCTCGCGGCACTGAGCGGTGGCGGGCTCGCGTGCGCGGGTCGCCGGTCGCTGGGCGCGCCGTCGCGTTCGTGGCCGCGTGGCGCGGTCTCGGGCTCGTTCTTTGTTCTCTGTGCGCGTCGGGGCGCTGAGTCGGGTCGCGGGCGCGGTGTCGCGTTGCGCGTGGTCTCGGCGGGGCGCCGGGCGCGTGCGCTGGCCTGCTGGGGCGCGGCGCGAGGTCGCGGGCGCCTCGTGCTGGGCTTGCTGGCGCTTGGCGCGGGCGCGTGTCTTCGATCGGGCGCTGCTGTGTGGCTCGGTCGCGTGTGCGCGTCGCGTCGCGCTGTCTAGTGCCGAGCTGGCGCGTCGCGCCGCGGCTAGGGCTCTGGGCCTCGTGCGCTGGCGCCTGTCGCGCTGCGCGCGCGTGGCGCGGTCGCCGCTTGTGCTCGGGCGGGCGCGTGCAGGGGCGCTGTGCGCCGTCGCGGGCTCGTTCGGCTGGGGCGCGTGTCGCGGCTCGCTGAGGCTTCCGGCCTCTGGGCGCGTGTGCCTGTGCGCGGGCGCGGTCGCTCGGCGCTTGCGCGGGCTGTGCGCGGGCGCGCTGGCTAGGGCGTCGGGCGTGGGCTCTGGCTGGCTGAGCGCGGGCGCCGGGGCGGTGGCGCTGTGCGCGGTGCGCCGTCCGCGTGCTCGCGTGCGCGTCGTCGGGCGGTGGCGCGGTCGCGGCGCGGGCGTGTCGGGGCGCTGTCTCTTGCGTCGTCTCTTTCTTGGCTCGGTGCTCGTTCTCGGCTGTGGCGCGGGCCGGGCGCGGGCGAGGGCCGTGTCGGGCCGCAGAGGGCGCTGTTCGCGGGCGCGTCGGGTGCGGTGCGTCGGTCTCGTGGCGTCGGTCGCTCGTGCGTGGCGCTGTGCGCGGAGATCTGCGCCGGCTCGGGCTCTGGCGGAGCGCGGGCGCTGGTCGGGGCGGGGGCCGCTGTGCGTGTTCGGGCTCTGTGCGCG